TCATCATCATCATCATCATCATCATCATCATCATCATCATCATCATCGACCGGCTTGTAGCACCAAGTGGTGGGAGTAGTGTTCGGCATGTTCTGGCATATTTTTGACACATCAATACGCGGTATATAATTATGAAGGCCTCCACTGGCTCGAACTGATTGATCATGAAATCTGTCGCCTGCTTTTCTACATTTGCCTTGAAAAATGATGTTTGCACATATATATACCAGCAGTCACAAGACGGGGTGCGATCCATGGAGGTTTAGGGTGCCCAGAACATCCACTCACTGGATGGGACTAAACACCACCCCTTTGTGACTCCTGTATTTTCTCCACGCATCCACGCCAGATGTGCATCACGCTCGCGTGGTTGCGTAGGCTTTTTGGGACGCTTCGCTTCGTCCGACCTAGCCACCGCCTAGTTCTATCCAGGTGGAGTGTCCTACACAGCAGCGCCCGGAAGCCAGCCCATCTATGTCCGCCAAACATGGGAGAGAAAACCCCATCCACGCCATAAGTATAGCATAAGTGGAGAAAAGCATATAGAGACGTCAAACAACGAAAAGAACAGCACATAGCATAGCGCCGGGCAAACCACCCTTTTACGTCCAGTGACGGACACCCAGTGATCGGCGAGACCTTTCGCGGCGGAAACCGTCGATCTGGCGCCGGAACGCTCCAGGAGCGAGTGAGGAAGGCTCAGGCGCTGGGGACGACGTGGGTTGGGCAACGCCAGGGATTTCGTCCAGCCCGACCGGTCCTTTCTATATTAAAGGGATAAGGATGCGATGGATAAGGTGAGAAACGCCCAGACCCGGATTCGGGGGTTTCTCAACCCCTGGATTTTTTTAGCGTACGAAAACAACATCTGCAGCGATGCAGCTTCATTCACCCAACCACACGGATGCAGCTTCTTTCAGAAGCACCGCGGTCGCCAGCACCGTGGTCGCCAGGTCCGGTCGCCAAATCCATGTATCAGCCGTCGAACGCACGGTCGGTCAGGGTCCGATTTCCACGGGAGTCTGTGACTTGAATCAACTTTGCGAACCAATTCCGGATTGGTTGAATCGACTCTGAGAAAAACGGCCTCACATCTCGAGAGGTGACTTGTTCAACAATTGATTCCTTTTGGGATGTGACACTGGAGTGTTCGTGCTTCGGACGGTGTCACCCCCGAGTGGATCGAGCGAGCGAGCGACTCCCACCGCAGGCGGAACCCGTGAGGACGGCGGCATCTGCGTGGTGTGTGCGGCGCTGGTGCGTCGGTGGGCGTGTGTGGCGCTCCGGGAGGTGCAGGTCGAGTTTCTTTCAGACCAACGTGCGTTTGATCTTGGTGACCCCACCAGGATCCAGTTTTACCACCGAATGTCCTTGAACCGACCTCATCTGACTTTAATGCAGGATCCAAGATCCAAACCAGGACCGAAACCAAGCCCGGTGGTTTTTGGACGCCCCGAATCACCTTGTGGCGAGGCTATGGACATAGACACCTCGAACTCGAGGTCCGGTAGGTGGAAGTGATCGATCAGTTGAATACGGAACCGCCCAGTTGGAGCCTTTGAGCACCCGGACGTCCCGGGTTCAAAGCAGATCCTTCCGCAGAGCGGAGCCCGAACGTGGCTCGTCGGAGAACATGAAACAGAGATCAGATGAGAACACGCAACATACGAACATACGAACATTCCAGAACAGAAGACCCATTGAACATCCACCTACTTGAACTTCCCACTTCGGTGAAGGGTTCGTTTGTGTAGCGGGCTGCCAGCATGCTGGGCCCCGTGCTGGGTCTCATTGTCCGTCCAATTCTACAACCAAATCCTCTGTGCTTATTGCAGTAGGAGCGCAGTCGCGACTTGGTCGCTCTTTTCGTCCATCCACCCCTCCATCAGCACCTGGTTCCGGGGGCCATGGCGGTTAACAAAGAAAGAACATTCGCTTTGGTTTCGCTCACAGTTTTCAGAGGAAATGACTTCAAATCACTATATACCAGGACCTTCCCAGTGACCTAACGAAAGAGATCCCAGTGGCGTGTCGGTCACAACTCCCAGGCCTTGTTTCAAGGTCACGTCTACCAGTCCTGAAGAGGTCACTGGGTGTCGGTCCAAGTATACCTGATCAATTCATCCAGATGTCCGTCGGTAGGAGATACGTTTTTGAGCACCAGACGACGGACATCTGGTGTCGGATAGGAACAGGGGTGGAAGGCGCCACAGGATCTTCTCTTTTTATTGCGAATGAACCACACTATCCTTCGCCTCTGTCATGACTGTCATGGGTCGTCGTTTTCTTGTTCCTGTTTCTTTCGCTTTTGTGTTGAACAGAATTCTGTTTTTGCTACAATCCTTGTCCGAAGAACTGTGCTTCTTCCTTGTCGTGACCTTCCATGCACTATACAACACAATGAATAGAATGCAACATGTGCCACTTGCTAAAAGTCCAATCCGCACACACACACACACACTCGCGTTACAATTCGGGAAAGGGTCTGCAAAACTTACCTGTCGCGGAGAAACACACACAATCACACATTGCATTGGTGTGGCAATTCCACGAAGCACCTTCAAAGGGGTCACCTGGCTGGAAGCCCCTACACTACTAAGGGACCTCCATTGGATACCCTTGAAGGTTCAGGCATAATTGTTCAATGCCTTGTAGAAATGGGACGAAATCACAGGCCTTATTTTCACCCGAGTGTTGTGCGCCGGGCCACGGGCCATTAAGAAGAAAACCCTCATTTGCGGATCACTGGTCACGCCAATGGTACAAGAGCGAGCATCCTTCGTTCGCCCCTGGGCCAGTGCTATTCCGCCTTGAAACCTCCGGACTCCTGAGAAGCCGATCCCTCTTGCTTGGACCCAACGCCCTCGCCCATGAAGCGAAGCCTGTGTTCGGTCGACCGCCTCTCCAGGAGCGAGGCGGAGAGATCTGTTGCGGTGAAGGCGGTGTGGCGATCCGATCGGTCGAGCTTCGGCCACCGGAGGCGAAGGGCTGTCGACGGACCCACGGGTGCCACTGGCGGCCCACTCAACCATGGTCGGCGAAGAATCAAATTTATTCAATATACCTAGCGCTTCCTGGCAAGTGAGCATCCTGTCTGGTGATCTAGAAGCAGTCAGTGTCGGGTTAATCCATGGTAATCCCGAACAGAAAGCAGCCCGTCGTCGATGTTCCCACCGGGAAACCGAACCCGTCGTGACCGCACCAAGCTCGGGGCCCTTTTGGAATGCGTGGCGCCACCGGAAAGGGCAGGAACCCCCACCGGAAAGCCTGCGGAGGTCAGTTCACCTGTTTAACTGCTTACATGGATCGCTTTTTCTGGTGAGAGATGGCCTCCACTTCTTCCCTTCCATTTCCAAGCTCAGTTCTCCAAGCGCCGTCGTTTTTGTTCCATCCCAGCACGTCGGATCCTGAGGGCGGCAGCTTCGTCTGGCTTCGGGGAGAGCTGTTGGGCCGTGGCAGCTTGGGCTCTGTCTGGAAGGCGCGGGGGCCGCGTGGACTGCCGCATGCTGTGCTGCTGAGACATGCAGAGACAACGCGTGAAGAGGGACGAGAGGTACCAGTAGGTGGCTGCTGGTTGGTGGGAATTGTGGTTGTTCTTGTTCTTGTTCTTCTTCTTCTTCTTGTTGTTGTTGTTGTTGTTGTTGTTGTTGTTGTTTGTGGAATAGTGATTGTGAGTGTGAGTTGTTGTTTGTGGAATAGTGATTGTGAGTGTGAGTGGGGAAAGATGTGAAGATGTACTGTACTGTTATGTCTTGCAACAAAGATGTTGAGACGTAATCTTGCGAGCTATGACAGTTGAAGTGTGTAAACTCCTGCCAGTTGACTGCTGCAATAGCTGGTTCGGAGATGTTTCAAGGACATCTTTTGAAACCATGTGCATAACCAGGCCCAGGTTTGCCTGCCCGAGGATTTCCACTTGTAGTTTCAACACGCTGAGAATGAGCAACGCCCCTTGACCGCCGTGTGCTTTTATGACCATAGACCTGATATAGAGTGTCTCATATGGGGCTCCAATTGATTGGAGTAACACAGTTTTTCACGGAATCCAATATGACACGCTAATGTGATTTGATTAATAAAGGACCCTAATATGATATGGCTTTACATCTCCATATGGGTGGCTTTATTAATCAACAGTCTACATAACGGAAATTGCTTTCATGAGCCCATTAGCTTGGTAGTTGGAATCTTGGAAGGGATCAGATCACGTCACTGCCTGTTGATGATGTTTGATTTTTTGGTTCCCCCACATAAGCGCAGAAATCAAAGTGGAAAACCACCTGCTTCTAGAGGAACATCGTCATCCAACAGGCCATGCCATCCACTTCCATGATCACTTCAGTGAGCGTAACTGCGAATTCCAGTAATTCCCCTGTAGGCAAGATTAGGCAAGGTAGCAAGGGAGCAACCAGCAAGGCCTTGCTGGCTCGTTGTCGTTGTCGTTGTCGTTGTCGTTGTCGTTGTGGTTGTGGTTGTGGTTGTGGTTGTGGTTGTGGTTGTTGTTGTTGTTGTTCTTGTTCTTGTTCTTGTTCTTGTTGGTTGTTGGTTGTTGTTGTTGTTAACTAAATTTGTGCACCACCTGACACCGAAACCCGACTGACCGGCTGATGCATTCTCAATTTGTGTTTATATTTAACTAATATATATAATAGTTATATCATAAATAATATGAATTCATGTATAATGATGCATTCATATATTTTATATATTTATATGTGTGATCTATGTTTAAAGTACAATGATATAGTGACAATATGTTATAGTAATTCTACTTGCATCTACCTGGACCTTCCAAGCGGTGTCCAATGCCTCTGAGAAGCTTTTGGAGATGGAGATCCCTTGCTAATTTCCATGACACTGGCTTTAAGCCATGGCAATAACGTGTTTTCTTTCGTGGGTTTGGTGGGTGAATGAACTGTTTATCTTGCTTGTCATCCAGCAGTCACGTTCGACGGGGTGCTATCCATGGAGGTCAGGGGCCCCGACCATCACATCCACGGCCCCTGGATAGGACGAACCAAACCAGCCCGAGCGACATGTGACTCCTGAGAGAGTCCTTTCATATCGGACATCGTTTCCTATCCCCAGACACTCCATGTCTGTCATATATGCCTACATTGACCCTCACACCACCCCAACTGATCGGCAAATATACCAGTCCCATGGAGTATAATGAGGATCTATTTGGGGCCCACTATAATGAGGATCGACTCCTAGATATTGTTCCTAGGGCTGTCATTTCCATGGCTTATTTCTTCGCTTCACGTGGCCAGGGCACCAACCGGCAGACAGGGCAGACCATGGCTGTCAAGGTGGGAAGACTCCGGTCACCGGGTGGGCGGGCATGACTGACCCCGAGCCCTAAGCCTTAGGTGTTTGGCACCTGAGGAACCCTCAGGATCCCGTGGTTCTTCTTTTGGTGTGAAAAAACAGTAAAAACCACGGGTTTTTGAGTCATGTTTTCTTTTTTTTGCACTACACATGAACACCGAGGCCCCCGCGTGAGATCGATCAAACATCCCATGCACAAGTTGCGAGTTTGCAACGCGCGTGCCGCGTGTTGCACCCACGGAAGGGGCTCATCGTCGGGGGCCCTTGGGATGGTGCCGCGGCGCGAACACCCACGGAAGACTTAAGAATGTCTAACTCGGGAATTGGCTCGTGGGTACCAAAAGTCATTGGTGAGAAAAAGAAGGGTGGGAACACACACGCATCAAAAGAACACCCACTGAGTGAGTCTATACTTCAATGGAAGGGACGCTAGGCTCACATTGATCGTCCGCAATGCTTAACATCTGGAAACGGATGGTGACTCTTGCAAGAAAAAGCTCGTACTTGCTTTCTCCAGACATCGATTTGGCGGCCAATGTCATGGCTGTTTCGGAATTTCCCCACTCTTGTTCCCGACCATTTCGAGATAACTACCGAAATAGCAAACCTGGGGGGGAAAAAGGCTGAGAGGGCTCCAAAGCTCGCTTTGGGCGCCGGTCGGCCCCCTCGTCGCGTCGCCGTCGACCACCAGCCTAAGATCACAGCAACTAGACTGGTTCTTCCATGGCATACTGTTCAAAAAGCCTTCCAATGAACATAGGAGTCAAACAGCCTTTCCAACAACAGCCTTTAGAACATATAGTTCTTCCATGTTCTTCCGTCATTTCCAAGATCCGTTCTAGCCTAATATCTAGAACGGGTTGGGTCGCGGTTCGTTCCGTACAAGGCTGGTTGGGTCCATTCAATGGTGCTTGGAATCGGGGAATGATGGGACATCTTGGTTTTAGGCCGTGCCTCTCTTCAAGAGTGGGGTGGACCGCAAGCTATGGGGTTTTCACTAACTTGAGGGGATCGAGTCACGAGTTCACCAACGGGACCATTCCTGCAAAATAAGTGGGGTCCAGAAGAGATATAGGAGACATGTATTTCCATCTTCTTTCCGGTTTCCAAAGCAGACTATAGACGCTATAGAGTCGAGGGGCTTTCGACCTTCCCCCGGGACAACATGCGCTCGGCGTGTGCAACACGCTTCCAACCTCAAAAACTCCTTTCGCTGAAAGCAAGACGTGACTTAAGTCAGGTGAGTGCAAGGCACGATGAGAACTTGATGCGTGGGTTGTTGACAAGCCAAGACTGGAGCTGTTCTGTACCGGTACAGACTGGGAGGACCTAGAGGATCTGGGTAATTACGAACTGCACCAAAAGTGTTCCCCCCGCCGTCCGACGACCGTCACGGTCGATGTCAGGAGGTCATCATCGATAACCTTGATGATTCCGACAAAGACTTCTCTCAGTCGCTGCAGGTGACGCTTGATGCTGTCAGCATACGCATATGTTGTTTTTCCCCGCATCGTTCACACAGGGACCGTATTTCTATAAAGGCCCAAAAAGAACATATATATGTCGATCTAGACTCTTTCCTTCGCTGTGATTGCTTTTCGATGACGCGACTCGATTTGTGTGTCTTTTTTTGGGGTGGGGATGTCTATTTGGCGCACATCCTGATCATTTCAGGAAGGATGATGCAGAGGGAAGCGGAGGTGGTTGTTTTTTGTTGAAGGACAACTGCATGGATAACTGTCTTTGTTAGGTCCGCAATTATTGCAACAGCTGTTTTTTTCTCCCAAATCAAACCATTACTCTTTCCAAAAGGGCAGATGTTCACAATTTCACGAATAAGGGCTAGCTATAGTGAACGCGCCCTGACACTGGCAAGCCCAGTGCAATCATTATAACGTTTTGGGCTTTGCCGCTGCTGGCCTCGAACCTGAATAGAACCTTTTCGCCAGCTGGCGCTGACCTTCACCGGTCTCCTCCTCACTAAAAATATATAGAGCCTTTTTGACGAGTGCAGAGTGGTTAACCATTGCAGGTGGCGTCATGTTTGCTTTTCACGACATGTTGTTCCTTCCTTCTCAGCCGCTCCTCGCTGCTTCTCGCGACCCTTTTCACGGACCTGACCTACACCGCGGGAGTCTCTTTCCCGAGGTCAGACGTGTTTGGTCAAAGTGCCTCCACAGATCCCCCTGACTAAGTACTCCAAGATGTGGAAGTGCATGTGTTGTGGAAGTGCATGGTGCGTCCCAGCTTGGCGATCAATTTTTGGACGTGGCCATGTTTGTTGACAGAATCTGATGTGCAAGGGCCCTTGTGAACTATGACTATGACCCTTGAATCATTGACACCCAAGAGAAAAGCAACCATGAAAAGTAGAGAACCATCAGGACCATCATAATAATAGTAAACGCATTGGATCAGGCAGTGCAGTTTAATCAAAGATATCGCAATTCCAGATCCGCCTTGCCGCGATTGAAAGGACCATTTCAGGAAAAAGCTTGGCTGGCGATATGTTCGAGACACCCGGTGGCCCAGCGAGCCTGAACATGAGGTGCCCATTCCACAAGACCGAACAGCTGAAAAACGCCGTGGCAAGCCCGGGGTGCCTTTGGGACCCAGGACTGACCTTCTGAGCGGTTGCAGGCATCTGTGAGTCGGTTGGGGCTCGACTTGGTTGGCGTGGGCTGGAGGACATGCACGCATCGCGTGCGAGTTAGGTGACGCTGTGCTGGAGCGTCCACGTTCGGGCTGCGCCGGTGTCCGCAATTCGTTTTGAGAGGCGGGCTGCAAATTTAAGATGCGACAGGCGGCCAGCACTGATTTGGAAACAAGCCTTGGCTAGAATAGCCAGTTGTCGCCACAACACTTTGGTTGTCAACAAACCAACACAAGTCAAAAGTGCAACTCTAGTGACTCTACTCATGTGTCAAGAAGTCTTTTACACCTCTCCTCAGCAAAGCCGTGCTTCTTCTCCAATAACCTTGAGGTTCTTTGTTGGCTGCTCTAGAAATTAGGTAAGACCCTGCCTTGAAACTCGATCCTGTACCCATGAGCTAGAATTCTGCTGACCTGACTGACCTTAGAGGTTTGTACAATAGACATGTCTTGATAACCCAGAAGTTTTGGACACGTGTCAACTACGTAGAGAACAATCTGTGGAGAACCCAAGCTTGTAGTTTTGCTAGTTGTTTTTGTTGATTGATAGCTTTTGGTCCGGGAGGTTGTGGTACCTGTAGATTATAATGGTTTCAGAGTCGAACTAGTCTAACCGACAGGAGCAAGCGTGAACCAAGAGACCTAAACCTAGAATATAATGGCTCCCAGACTCAACGCATACTCCAGGACTGTGTCATGTTGCCGCAACTTTGGGATAGCATGTGCCTAAAGATGCCCCAATTGAAATACCTGGAGCAGCTGGCTAGAGGTCGCAGGCTCTCGTTCTAACGGGTGCACGCTGGATCTTGCCCTGCAGTAAACGAGCAAAAACGGCAAATCCGCAAGGTTGTGAGTAAATGTCCCGGGGGTGAAAGCCAAGAGAGACAGGGCTGACATGTGACAGCGTGGTATTCTCACCCAGCACTTGTTTGATGCCCTTGGTGTTGAATTTTGGCCGACATGCCCGCACCGCGAGGTCGAGATTGACCTGTACAAGCAGTTGCAACATCCCAATATCGTGTCCTACCTCGGGAATGACCGGATCAAAGATCGTTTCTACATTTATTTGGAATATATGCAAGGACTGGCAGAAGGGAGATGGCCAATTTCAAGAGGATGAACCATGTTTTGGTGAAAGGTGCGCTGTAGGCAGGCACCCCCCTGTTTGGGTGGAGGCACCATGAATGGAGGGATCCATTACAATGTCAGGTTGGTTATTCCATGCTATCCCCAAAGTCGTGTGCGTCGTGTTTTTGCACTTGCTTGGCACTTGGTCGGTGCGGAAACTTGTTTTTGTGTTCAGTCATGCGGTTGTGGCATGAAACTGTTGGCGAATCAATCAATGAATAATGTCGACTGTGCAGAGTTGCATAAGTTCACTTTGGGGTATTCAGGGCAGAGGTTCCACAGCCTTTTGTTAAGACATTGTTCATCTAGCAACATCCCTTTTTTGGGGGAACTTGCCAACCAGACATTTTCACAAAGCAGTTCAACAATTCACCGGTTTCCTGTTGCAAAAGTCCCATGGAGAGAACAACAACACCGGAATTTGCAACATTTCAAGATGGGGGAGACGGCTTGGAAAGCTCTGACTGGATGATCCTACCCTCCCAAGCTGAGCTCCCGTCCTCGAAGCAACTAGGGTTGGTTTGTTTTGATGCGCTGTCTCGGGGGTGTTTGCCCAAGGAACCCGTTGCTGCCAAGGAACCCTCCTGAAACCGCTCGACGATTCCTCGGGAGCGGAATGCCAGGAGGGTCAGTGTCACAGGTTCTACACAGGGAGGGACCTATGAGTGAACCGCTGATCGCTTGCTATGCCCAGCAGCTACTTCAGGCAGCCGAACCTCCGTCGAACCCGAAACGGTGCGGCGAGTGCGGCGACGGGGCACGGTGGGTTTTGGGCCTGGAAATGCGGGCGACGGCGGCAGCTGGTTCTTGCCACATGTACCGGTCGGGTTCACCGTGAGCCACGTGGCTAGTGACATGGACACCACCCATGGTAAGGCAGGTGGAAGGGTCGATCAAGATCATTTAAGATCCCTTTCCAGCCACCACTGGGGGAAACATGTCTTTACATTCACAAACACAATGCCCATATCAAGGTGTGTCAAGTGATCCAAATCGGTTGGTAGATTGGGCCACTTCAAAAGACCCTAAAAGACCCTTTTCAAAACGCTGTAAGTATTCAATGACCTCGCCTCCTGATCAGTTCGTCTTTCAGCGCGTTTTTCAGCGCTCCTCATTTCGTTGTTATCCTTGCGGCACATTGGGATGGGAAACCCGCAGCAGACCCATCCCGTTGAGAAAACCGCTCCCGGACCATGGGATGTTTCACCATTTACCAATCAAATCCAATGAAAAACCATGGTAAATGATGAAAGATCCCAATGATTTTCCCTATAAATCCCATCCCAGATTGGGTGGTTGGTTTCAGTGGTCGGCCCAACCACGCCCCGTCCCAGACCCGAAGTCACCGGGACCCAGAGACCCAGAGACCGACCCAGCGTCGGAGGGTTCACAGGTTTCATGGCGCTGGGTGTCGACGGAGAAGGTTCTATCAAACCTCCTGGGAGCTGAGGCAAGCTGAGAAGGAAGCAATGACATGTTCCTTCAGCAACGGTCTCCAATTACCCTGCATGATGCTCTATATTAGGTGCTTATAAGGGTGGGTCCCAACGGGGGTCTGTGTCCACCGAACTGAAAAGCATGAGGATACAAGCCAGAAACGCCTATGGGCGCTGCTATGTCCCTGGGATCCAGTCGTACCGAACCTCAGGTACGGTGAAGAAGGAGACACCAAGAGACGTAGGTGCCAAAACGTCGGGTTCGGTACGATTGGATCCCAGGTGTTTGACCCACATGTTTGACCCCGCTAAGGTTCCTGGCCCTGGCCGGTTCGAAACCCCACGCCAGGGCTTGAATTACCTCCACACGCGGGAGCCTCTCATTTTGCACCGAGACATCAAAGGCGGCAACATCCTGGTGGGTGAGAAGAGGCCCGGCCAGCTGCGGTTCTTCGACTAATTAATGGGACTGGAGTATATGCCTACATTGACCCCCCAAACCACCCCAACGTAGGCATGTATGGCATACATGGAGCATCTGGGATTGGTTGATCAATAGACGATACATGAGGATACCCCCAAGTGTACCTCCCTCATTCTTCATCCCAGTCGTTTTCGGACCTGCACCCACTCGGGCGCTGACACCGTTGGACATCCACCCCGGTGGCGATCCAACCCAGAGCGGCGGCGACATTGAATGACACCAGATGAGAAAAGCAGCGGATTTCTCCCTGGATGTTCATCCTTGACCTTGTCCCACTTCAAAAAGCATGAATTGCAGACTCTTGATTGATTGCACCCCCCCAAGCAAATTCAGGTCCAATTCACCTGAGGTGCATGGGGTCAAGCATATGATCAAGAGATCTTCGCCCTGCGCACGGTCCCTGCCTCTCCCACTCCCACCTCTCCTCCGTCACCCAGGACGGTGAAACTCGCGGACTTCGGCTGTTCGAAGCGTTCGGAAGAGACCTGCCTCGAGCTGAGCAGGTGTTCTGAATGGGGGGTCCGGACGGTGAGCGGTTAGAACGGGGGACGAAAAAGGGGCTCCACTGGCATGGCTTCTTGGGCCGGGGGGGCAGGGGGTAAATCAAATGTATAACATAATTACCAGCTTCTTCAAAGTGACCGTTTGAAGGTTCCTAAGTGACCCTTAGGAGGCTTAAGTGACCTCAAACCAGATTATCAAAAGGTCACTTTGAAGAACCAGGTATACGGGATGTATATATAGTATAATCTATAGAGGGATCTTCGAAGCTACAACTGGATCCCTACAGGCGATCGATCGATCCTCACTCAGTCACCGACCTCGGGGTCATCGAAACTCGCCATCGCCGAGGTCAACATACACTGAGGGGTTCGATCCCTTGGATGGCACCGGAGGCGGATCCGCGGCACTCGCGCGCTTAGCGCCGACCGCCCCGGACCCTTTCCCGCCGCACCGGGTGCGGCTTGGCCCACCGGCTCGGCCATGGTGGTGCTGAGCCATGGTGCTGAGCCATGGTGGGAACGCCAAGAACATGAAGTTTAACAAAGATGAACAAAGTCATGTTTGAACAGATGCTTCGATTTCGGAGTGTTTTTTAGCTGGTGGGAGCGTGACCATCCCGAAAATGGATCCTGGCCGAAATGGAAAGTTAGATCAACAAGATCCACAGTGCTGGTCTTAAAATCCAAGATTGGAAGGTGCCAAACATTGGAAGTCAAGTTCACCTGCTTCCTCCACCCTCCAGCTTCGCACCGCTTTTGGCCCCACCCTCCCCGCGGCTCGCTTCGCGAAGCGGGCCCGGCCCACGGCACCGCAGCGCGATGACGTCCTTCCTTCTTCCGTCAGGTCATGAACGAGCGCGCCTATGGGCGTAAAGCCGATGTCTGGAGCTTGGGTTGCGTCTTCATCGAGATGGTCACCGCCCAGCCGTGCCTTGGCGGTTCGGTGGGTGGAGAAGGAAGGTGAAGAAAGAAGGACCGGAAGGAATTGGAGGATGATGTAAGAAGGTGGAGGAATGCAGGGCTGTTTACATGACTTGAATATACTTGAATTACTTGCATCATCCCTAGCCAAAGGACCTGACCAGTGACGGCCAATGACGCATAGTGACTAGTGGGTCACTAGTCCGTCTCCCAGCAGCCTGGCCTGGACACGTTTCGATTGGAGCATGTCACCGTCTCTTCGAGGATGCTTGGGCTCCGAAACAGAAAGCTGTTGGTTTGTGGCGAACGATACCAGGTTCGAACGAGACCTTCTTGGTGGGTAAAATCCCGAGGAGAACCAGCAAACAAGTCTGTCGGCAGGAGCAGACTATTGGGTGGTGTCTCACATCCAAATCTGCAATTCAAACGGAAGAATACGATAGAATAAGAAGGTCTAACATGTTAAAACACTCTTAGAGTTCCACCATATCCCCCAAAAAAGGATCTGCTGCATTTTGCTGTTCGTCTTCATGCTTTCTTTGTCAGCTGCTGTCCGTAGGCCTTGGGGTCCCATGAGCAATCCCTTGGCCACGATGGCACCTTGGGCGGCGAACGCGGCGGATCCTGTCTGGAGATGGGTTTTCTTTTTAAAGAACACGACAATCATCCTGGAACCATGGGATCCAATGGAAGACCATGAGTTTTCTTTTAAAGAACAGCTATATAAGTATATACCTGGAACCATCCGAGCATCCTCTTTGGGTCTCCTGTCTGGAGATCCCTACTAGTAAGGAGCGGGAGGGTATAGTCCAGCCAGGTGACCCAGATGGTCGGATGGTCCTGGTTTTTCTGCTGCATGTATAGAACATGTGATAACATGTGCATATGTTATTTTTTGTTGTGTGGTGTGTTCAGACAGGTCTTTAAGATGAGCACAGGGAGAATCCGTTTTCCAACATCCTCCTTCTATTCTTGAGGTTTTTCAGATTCTTTTTGGCAGGGTTTTCTGTGTGCAGTAGATCGTGCTTTAGTTCACCTATAATCCAGATGTGAGTAGGGTGACCGACCCCAAGACGAATAGATTCACCAAAAGTGGTGTGTGGATTTTTTCACCTGCCCAGACACTCCACCCCAAAGGAACATAAATATGCGTAGACATGCGTATCCCCTTTCTTAACCACCCCAGGGATGTGTGTAAATAAGACCTGCAGTCCTGGTGTGTTTGGGCAATGGACCTCGGGCCGAAGCAAGAGAACGAGGTCCGCCCCACCCGACCCGTGGAGGAGGACAAAATGGACCGTGCGAGGGGTTCGCATGCATTGCGAAAAGTGCAGCGCAGTTCCACCCAAAAGCACGAAAGACCTTAAGGGCAACCTCTATCAAGAACCAACAAAAATGGTCATGGTCGGCCCCCGTGGCCCTCCAACCAGGGCTTCCAGGATGGAGCTGACCGTTTTTTTGGTCAAATTCTCATGGCATGCAGCATTTGGGTGGTTGGTTATTTGTTCTCATTTCCCCACGAACTCTAAGCAGATGGACCATGGTTTTCCTTGATCTTCCAGGGAAATGGCTCGGTAAAACATTAGAGCTGGAAGCTTGGAGTTCTTTCTAAACTTTCACCTGTGGACGTTGCAGAAGTTGTCGCTTTCCGCGCCGCAGAAGAAAGTGCCTTCCCGTGATGTGACACTCCCAAAAGGGAGATTCCGTGGGGATCGCGGATGTGAAAGGCTCCTGGAAGCACCCCTAAGGGGCAGTTTCTCGAAGTGAATGAAGTGGATGAAGTGGCACATGATCATCACATTTCTGGTGGCAGACGCTTGTGAGGTAGTCGCCTTTGGGGGCCATCGAATTTCATTGGAAGTTGCTGGGGTTGCGCTGCTGATTTTAGGCTTCCTTGGGATGATCTTCTCAACTTATGTGCTTCACATGCCTCAAAGATGCTTGCCCTTAAGACCCACGGATGAGGAGCTCTTCTCCCCGGCAATTCTGGGAGATGGAGAAGCGCTCCATACAGCGGTGGGTCAAAACATGTGGTGTGTCAACTTGGAGGATCTTCGTCAGCTGCGGCGCCTGGTGATGCACGCAGTGGCGCGTGGCACGGTTCGACCCACCGATCGAGACTCGATCGCATTCGACTGGTTTCGGAGTGACGTTTTGGATGTTTTGCCTCGATTCGCTTTTAGCTGCTTTTGGATACTTGAAAAAAACTTTTTGGGTGGCACCCTAATGCACGCCTTGGGATGCCTTGGGCTCCAACTACCTCACTGGGAGGGTCCGTCGGTCTACACCCAGGAGATCCATTTGACTTGAAGGACTATGCGATTGGTCCGTCGGTTTACACGGTGACCGAGCAGTTTCTGAAGCCAATCACCGGTCAGGCCGGGCAGATGAGCTGGGCCCTGATGAAACATGCAGCTCGATGACAGATCGAGTGCTGACTCAACACGGATCGAAGTGCTGACTCATGCATGAACATCGATCGCATATAGGTTATATATATAACTATTATATACATAGGCGGTGTTTGAACAGATGAGATTGACAAAGAGCAGGGTCCATCCACCATGGAGATGTTTTTGTCCGCTAAGTGTAGTCGTTGTGCTTGTTTTTTTGTCGCATGAGGGGTGGCTCTTGGAGCTTTCATCCAAGGCAGATGGCTTGCCATGCGATCTCTTTGTGACACATGCCTGGGCCGAAGGTATCTATGAGCTCATCGCTCGCGTGGAGCATTCTTGGCCGAGGGGTATGCGGGGTGCATACATTTGCTTCCTGTCCAACCCGCAAAATCTCAACATTGAAGCCTTGATTGCAAGCCCAAGGGAGTCGCCCTTTGCACTGGCTCTTCAATCAGCTTCACTTCTACTTGTTTGTCCGAATGACGCTCGGTCCGAACATCGAGACGCAGGACACGGACAGAACGTAGACGTGAACGGTATACGTGAAGACCGAGAGTCTCAGTGTGTACCTCCGGAAAATGGGTATAATGATATACAATAATGGTATACATATTATATATAGATCTTAATGGTGATAAATATAGTATTTGGCTTTTATTACTATATTACTGTATGGGGTTATGTCCTGATTCTCTATAAGGTATACTTTGGAGGGTCAAGGCATCCGTGAAGATGAAACAACGCACAAACGGCGGACATGGAAGGAACACCGCAGCATCTACACGCGGCTTTGGTGCGTCTATGAAGCTTTTCTCGCCTACTCTTGGCAGAAGGAGATTCGCACGGCGACCAAATACCACGAAGGTTTCTATTGCTTGTTGATGCGCTGGTCTTTTTGGCAGCTCGGCTGATCAGATCCGGCCGAGCAATCTTCGCTTCGTCTCGGCCTTAAAAAATACGTTGGTTGTGGTTCCCCCCCCAAAAAGGATCCGAACCCCTGCGGTGCACATGCACTTGATTTTTCCAATTTCGAAGGATGCCTTTTTTGGTTGCTCTGCCTCCAACGATGCAAGTGAATTCACAATTGAACATGTTTGTTGATCTTAGTCTTTTCAAGGTGCCACCATCCACCAAACCCATGATTGGAGGGGGTTTTTCTATAGGCAGAAACAGCCTTTGGCAAAAAGAGCCTGAGAGATCGATTGGGCGTGTGTAGCATACCTGCGCTGCGCGCATCGATGGTGGGTTCTTTGATGATGTCTTCGTGTTCTTCCGGAGGGAAGGTCGCATTGAAGTTGGTGTCCCAACTGTGGTTTGTTCCAAGTTAGGACACTTTTGGGATGAATACATAGGCTTTCCCCAGGGGAGGAGAACCTCCATGCCCTGTGCCACAAAGCCTAGGGCTTCAAGAGGCGCACGGCAGGTGAAGGAGTTACGATGTTGATGTGCCGCCCTGCACCACCTAAACTTGCTGGATGTCGAATGGTGAAGCATCATGAAGCATCTCCGTTTTTTTTTGCACATGCGTGTGGGTGGTCATTGGGGCGCGAGCTCGAAGTGTGCAGATCTCGGTGAGGTATGTGGCTACTGCCGGTTTGATGCTGCTGCTGCAGTGCCAGGTTCAGGAAGCCGTCTTTTCCACGGTCGGCTTCCTGATCCCTGTCTGACGCTTTTCTGTTGAACATGAAGATCCGCTTTGCCGCGTTTTTTCTATATACCAGGACCTTCCCAGTGACCTTTTGAGATCTCAGAATGAGGCCACTTAGGCCTTGAAAAGGTCACTTATCAATTCTGAAGAGGTCACTGGGAAGGTCCTGGTAGCTATTTATTTTAAAAAAAAGAACCAGTCTTTTCTGTCATGAAGTCCCAAGCACCCTGATTACACACCGACATCTTTGCACTCGGAGGGTCTGGGCATGAAAGAGAAAGACTCTCTTCAAACGACCAACTGCCAACGACCTAGAGGTACTTCAGGTTTGCTTGCAATTTCGCGTGCATCCCTCATACCTGCATCGCTGAAGCAGCTTTCCGTGGCAGTTTTTGCTGCAACTCTGAGCATGTACACCGTGGAAATGTGGGTCTCCGAGCAGTTCATGGGGCTCCTTCTTTGGTGACACGGATGGGAGCGCCAGCAAAGCCTTTTGAACTTTGTCGCTTGTTGCTTCGGTTCTATAGCGTAGTAATGTGTAGTATCATGATCAGTAGTCGCTCTATAGGCTATATAGATATACTCTATATTCCGATACTATGGAAACACCCAGCTTGCAGCACCATGCACTCCCGCTTCGCTCTTGCGGTCATGTCATGAAATCAACCGAAACACAGCCCGCACTGGCCGAAACACGGCACCCCCACATCTCAGGGTCGTCATTTTGCCGCCGATCATTTCATAGCGACCAATGTCATTGGAATTCATAACTGTAAATATTTTGTCAGTAAGGCAATTTCCTTACATTTGGGTCTCACACCATTACATTCGAGTGCTATAGATGTGGTTTTGTTGAGTTGATCAGGACACTTCACACTTGAAGCGACGACACTTTTCCTTCCTTTCAGCAATTGCTTCAAAGTCCGGGTGAGAGGGACAGAAGATGACAGAAGGGACCACTCAGAATCTTTGCCCGGCCTGGCAGTCACGCTGCACACTGCCACACAGAATAAAACAAATCTTCAAGCCCTCAATGTTCAAGGAACATTCAGCACCGTTAGTGCAATAAGTGGCTCACCTTTTTTACCCTATGGCACCGTTATAGGGACAGCTTTCTGAAGAAGAGTTGTTCTTCTAGCTTTGTCACCTTCAACTGCCAATCCTTCACATCATCAGTTTTCAACCGAAGTGCTCTCTCCAGTTCTCGGACTTGCTCACCTTAGAGTTGATTGGAGTAAGTTGAAAGTCAACCCAACCCTGAAAGAGAGTACGTGAACATAGTCACAAGTCACGTAGGCGAGTTACGAGCACATGAAAGTAGTTCAATTGACAAGTTACGTAACTCATAGATTTGGTGAACATAGGTTTCTTCCATCTTGTAGCATAGATGGCAGGACCTTCCCCCAAGCTTCAAATCACCCCTTGAAGCTGCTTCGCTGGAATTATCATCGTTGACATCTGGCAAAGGTAGAGCTGGGTGTTCCTCCTTGTCCTTCATACCTTTGCTCCTATTGCGATGGCGTTTTGGTCCTTGGAAAATCTTGGAAACACTGAGTAACACATAGCACCTCACAATGGTTTTCATCAAGTATGTTTGCAATTTTGCTTTTGCTGATGCTGCTGATGCTGCTGCCCCAGTAACTGTTCCTCTCATAGAGGCTTTGCAATGCCTTTCGCCGACCAGGTTGCCCTTTACCTGGAACCTCCTCGTTCATATACTTGGAACGTACCGGCATGGGTTCCACAGGCACACTACACGGAGGGATGTTGAAGCAACAGAACCCCTGGTGGAGTGAAAAGGGAGCAAGGGAGTGCACTGCGTCAGCTTGAGTTGTTGTTGACTTGAAGTTTCAAGAGTGAGAGGCCAAGTTTTGGAGAGACTGGAGGGGTTGAAAAGTTTGCAAAACATACCATGCAGTGGGCTGCCCCAAAGCACTAGCTTGATGATAATTCCAGCTGAAGCGGGAAAGCAAGAGCTAAGTGTGCAAAGAAAGTCCAAGTATCACAATGCAGAAATCACCAGTCCTGCCCCACCAGTCCTGCCTCAATCAGTGGAACATAGTGGAACTCCAAGGGCAGCCACATCCTACAAGTCCGTAACTTAAAAATAGACCTCATGGGAATCACCAGATTATGCTCGGTCCTGCTTTGTTGCGATGCAAAAAAATGTTGAGTCGGGCCTCAGCCGAACATTCAAGAGGGGTTCCACTTGCGCAACACAAACTGGCACTGCAATGCAACTGCAAAGCTGCACAGTGCTGCTTCACTTTTTGCCCACCAGCTGAAACGAAGAATGATGTTTCCTTAGTGGCTGTAACCCGCACTGAATCTGTTGAAATTGGTCCCCAGTGCGTATGAGCAAATGAGAGTGCGCATGCTCCTTCACTTTTTTGGTGCCTTACATACTGTAACATATTGTAACTATGTCATGCATAGTCTAAGGTGCGTAAACTATCTAGTCGTGCGAACCACCTGAACGCACCTGAACACCCGACGAGCCCAGCAAACCCCGGCGAACCCCGGCGAACCCCGGCGAACCCGGCGAACCCGGCGAACCCCGGCAAACCCGGCGAACCCCGGCGAACCCCGGCAAACCCGGCGAACCCCGGCAAACCCGGCGAACCCCGGCAAACCCCGGCAAATCTAAGCATAACATGTTTGGAGCCAAGGTTCCAGACCGAGCAGATGATTGATCATCACATCGTAGAGATCTCACACCTTCCAAAGTTCAATAGCTTCTACTGCAAGCTTGTGTCATGTTTTGGAAGCACGCTCACTGTTCAAATCTAAATGTCATTGGCTGTCATCATGTTGTGACACCATCAATAGTGCACTGTGAAGGAAACAATAACGTCTCAATGAAAAGAAAACATCGAGTAGCAGCCTGATGGGACAAAGCTTCATGATGGGCTGGATCGCCAGCACTGTGAACTGTGATGTCAGGTCCTCGGCAATAAGTGAGACTCATTTTTGACCACAAGATGGAAAGCAAGTGATGAGTTGTTCATTCAGCTGATGCACCTCGCTGGCCGACGCACCTCGCCCCACCCAAAGATGAGCTGGCACTGGTCTGTTTAAGCCACAGCCAGACACAATGAAAGAAGTGTGCAAGCATGTGCAAGCTACATTTGTCAACTCAAAGTGTTTCCAAACTATCTACACACGACATTGTATTTTTCTTTTCACTTCACACAGCACCAATGCTTTCTTGCACGGCTGCGTTCATTGCGCTCTTCAGCCTGGCCCTAAGCGGACTTGAGTTCCCTCCCATGGGCGCATAACGAGCCAAAGGTGATATACAGTATCATCAAATATGTTTATAACACTGTTCATGACTTTATGGAAAGTCTTCATTGGAGATCGACTTTAGAGGCATTGAGGAACACCCAGGAACTCATTCCCTAAAATCCAGGTGCGCCATCACACCAATCTCAAAGCTTCGTTGGTCTTCATGGCCAGTTCTGCTGAGCTCCGGTTCTTGATGAAATAGAGAGGTTTGCCTAAGAGCAATGAGACAAGGGCCTGTCCGATGAATGTTGGAACTTCAATTGCTCGAGGGTTGCTGGCACATGGCTGCTTTGCAGTCAAGCTGCGAGGTGTTAACTCCTTAAATCACAACAGTGACTGTCATTGAGGCTGTGGAACGGTTGAACTATTGTTGAATTCATTGTGTTTTGCAGCACAGGCGCATTAGCCTCCTTCAGATAGGCTACACGCCACACAGGGCAGAGCATTCTTGAAGCTGCCAACTCCTGGTGATAAAGAGAAGTATCACATCATTTCAATTTGTTGATTAATCAAAGAGGTTCGTGCACACCTTCTCAGTGAAGACATTAGCCAGCGAAGCCCACTTCAAAGTACTTGTCAATGACGGAGGGGACCACTGGAAGTATATTGGTGTCGGCTTCGGCTCAACCACAAAGAAATCTGAACCTGGGCTAAGGCCAGGACTTGAAAGATGCTCACACTTGTGCAAATCATAGCAAGTCTCAGAAGAATCCTAAGGCTGTGGCTGTCAGCTTTTGCTGAGCCATCACCGCAGGCAGGTGCACGAGAGCACTGGTGACCGTTGAGGGTCACATCAATCACTTCTTCCTCTTCCATCTCATGTAAGAGTTCCCTGATGGTGGAAACTTCAGAATCTTTTGTGCCCTTTCCAGATTCATTGGGCATTTCCAATACAACTCGTTCCATGTCGCTTGTCCAAGCACATGTCTTCAGGTAGTCACCTTCACCTGCATGTCCAAGGTTGTAGGTAGTCCAAAAGAACATCAGTTTATATCAGTTTCAATGCTGTAAGATGCTTCAAGACAGTTGTGAGAGTGTTTCACATCTACATCTGGTCAAACCACATTTTTTTGACGTCTCAACAGGCCCCAGATTTGATGGCTTCACTTCAGACAGTGTTCACACTGTCAAGCTAAGAACTAGTCGTTTCCAGCTGGATTGAATTGGGTGAAATGGTTGGCCACCTCAATTCCAGCTTCCCCAAATCCACGAAAGCACCAGCCCATCGATGATTGAAGTGACACTGTTTGGAGAGTGGGTATTTCATTGACTTTGCTGAAAAATACTGAAAACCAAACTTGTGGCTTGGTGCTGGCAAAACCTAAAAGATCCTAAAAGACACGTCGCCGGCGCTGCTCATTTCAGGCGTCTTCGGCAGCGCTGGGTTTGCGACATGTTCCGGATGGAGTTCGCACGGGTCTCAGACACCTTCCACCTGAGAGCATGGAGTGAAAAGATATCTGCGCAAATATCATTGCCAAAAGCAGTTTCAGGTCTGGTTGACTGTCGAAGCACTGGGGGATATGGATGTCTAGGTTGACTAGTGGCTGGGGCCTGCACTCCTCCCTGGCTTTGTTCAAGACATCTCTCCCAGACCATTCCGGGTGTTCAACACGTAGAGCATTCATCTTCTCCTTGATGAACTGGTGGAATGAATCCCTCATCACATCACCCTGGCACAGGGAGGCTTTGGGTAGAGAGAGACCCTCCAAACAAAGATGTTGCTTAGAGTATTGCTTAGGCAGCTTTCGCAATTCAGTTTCCAAAGTGGCTGTGCTTTTAAGAGAACACCCATGCCTTCGTCTTCTTTCCCAAAGCTTTCCTTTTGCCCGCAGGAGCTTCCTCTTCTTCGTCGGCTTCCTTTTCTTCCTCTTCACTTTCTTCCTCGGAATCTGCTTCCTTCTCCTCACCCTCTTCCTTTGATTCCTTGTCCTCCCTCTTCTGCATCTTCTTTCCTGTCTTTGTCTTATCAGCTCTCTTGCCATGTGATGAACTCTTTGGATTCTCTTCAGCCTCTTCCTCCTTGTCTTCAGTCTTCTTCTTGCGGTTCTTTGCAGCTTTAGACTCCTCACCTGCAGCTGCCTCCTCCTTATCAGTCTTTCTTTTCTTCAAATTAATTTGCCCTTCTTTGTCAGCAGCTTCCTCCGATGTCTCCTCCTCATCTTCTGCTGCCG